CGTCCTTACTGTTGAAGCCAAAGTCCTAAAAGATAGGGGCCTACCTGTTATTAAGCTAGGTAATCCACTTTGTATAAGGTTCACCTTTAAACTAGGAAGGTGCATGTCTTGTGGAGTGAGGCAAGCAAATTCCATCCCAGGAAATACTCCGTGGGATGAATCCTGACCTTTCTTCAGTTGGCCTGGATCAACATCAAGGGTCAAACATAGGCCCTAGTGTTTCTCATTCAAAGACCGCATGTCTCTCATTCCTTAGGTGTTCTGGGTCCTTCCAGTGCATCAGCCTGTGGCCCATGGGACCTCAAACTGGTGCTCTGAATTCCATTCCTTTTACCCTTTTAAAGATATTCCCTTATCTGCCTTCACCCACAAAGTATCATTTCTCATTGACATAGCTTCTGCAAGGCATGTTTCTGAGTTGGTGGCCTTGTCCTGCAAAGAATCCTTTCCGCTACCACACAGAGGCAAGATTGTCTTGAGGCCTAAGGCCCCTCTCACATGAGTGCTCCAATCAGGTTTGCCTGTCAGTTTTTCAGCTGGACCTGATCTGACGCTTTATGGAAGCCTATGGGCAGCCAGGTTTAAAAGGACGAGTGTCCATTTACACGCGGTTAGCTCCGGCACCAGCTTGGTCCAGTAAAACAGACGGATCATTGATCCGTTTCGACGGAGCGGGTCATGCTGGATGGGAGGTAATCTGATGTAAACGCACACATGTCCGTTTACATCACATTCCTCATAGACTTGCATGGGGTCAGGCACTGTGTCTTTTCCTCCATTACAAGATGGAGGGGGAAAAACTGTACGGCCATAGATGTCACACCGGTGACATTCGATCCGTGCTGCTCTGATCTAGAGAGGATCTGTTGAAGGATCCTCTCCTGATCTGCCAGTGTGAAAGGGGCCTAAGAGCTCTTTTTTTTCTTAAAGTGATTACTTCCTTTCACCTTAACCAGGACATTGGTTTCCCATCTCTCTCCTGCTCTGACATCCCAGGGACATTTCACTCAATTGTCTGGATGTGTTATGTGCTGTTTGAGTTTACCTCTCGCCTACAGCTTTCAGATTGACTGACTCTCTTTCTTCCATCCCCGAGGATCCCACTAAGGGGCAATCTGCTTCTTGTACCACTATATCTAGGTGGATTAGACAGCTCATTACCCAAGCCTATGGGCTTAGGAACAGGGTTCCACCGTTTCCAGTCAGAGCAAACTCTACTAAACCCCCATGGGCTTTTCAGAATCAAGTATATGTTTCTCAGATTTGCAAGGCTATCACCTGGTCCTCTGTTCACATGTTCATCAAATTCTACCTGGTGGATGATCAGGCCTCATATGATGCCAGTCTTGGAAGCAAACTTCTTCAGGTGGCTCTGTGAGTTCACCTAGCCCCACCATTGACATGTTGTTGTTTGTGGGCCTGTAAGTGTTTTGTTTGCTGTGTTGCCCACCAGAGGCGTAACTAGTGACCTCAGGGCCCCGGTGCAAGAATCCATGAAAAAACAAACCCCCTCCTCTTCCATGTCCCCAGCTTCCAGCTCCCTGACCCCACACTCTCCTCTCACATGTCCCCTTCATAATCTTAGCTCCCTATAACTCCCTCTTCGTGTCAGCAACACGCCTCTGACACCCACGGAGTTGGAGCTTTCCATAGAACACAGGCAGTTCTACGGTCGGCAGCAGTTCTGTGTGATGAGGGGGCGGGGATAACCCGCTTCCCACTCATTGGCTGCTGCACCGCCTCGATCATTCCTCCTGTCCTGGGCCCCCTCTAAGCTGTGACCCTGGTAGTTCCTTCCGCCACTGTTGCCCACCCTTCAGTTGGACTACTATTCGACATCCCAGTTGCCTCAGATTCCATCTGTCCAGTGTTTCTCAATGAATAATTAAGAAATAAGGATTTGTGACATACCGTAAAATCCCTTTCTTGGAGTTTATAAGAGACACAGGTCCCACCCCTCTCTCTTATAATCCACTCCTACAAAACTTAAGCATGATAGGAGTGGACAGGGTTATACTTTCTAGTAACAGATTTGTATAAACAATATAAGAGCAATTACTTCTATAATTGTATATAGTAAGCCCAGGTTTATGACATGCTTATTTCATTTATGTTTTATAAAGGCTCAGAAAATAAACATAATACAATAAAAACAGAAACTGTATAAAAATAACACTTTACAAACTGAAAACAACAATTGCACCATAAATGAAATGTTGGTTTTCTTTTCAAAATAAGTCACTGTATAAAATCATCAATGCTTCACTGTTTTGATACAAGTATATTATATTCCTAGAACACGGAGTAAATGTAATAAGAAAGAAACTGTTTAATATTCTTTAACCTAAAACACATTATGCTAAATATTTACTTCATATTTATCCTAAAAAATAACATATTGCTAAAGACTTAGATTGTAAACATGAGCAAGTTAAACCTGCAGAATGTTACAGAACAGTTAAAAACAAACCATGCAATGCTGCCAGAGAAAAATGCAGGTTATCACTATTAATAATAGGATAAGTCCATGGGGGCCAGCTTTCTAGATTGGGGGTTGGTGGTATAATAAAAATACCTTTGTGATCCTGACCCAGAGCTCCTGGTACCCGCGTCCCCTGCTGCCGCACAGGCTCTGCTATTATTAGCTGACAACTAATTCTGGACCTGTGCAGATTAGCTGCCAGGAGTAAATGTATTGAATATGCAGATGTCTAGATCAGGAGCAGAGAAATAAATATAAGGAACTTCATTACATTCTCCTGCCAACCCAGAGTGCTATAACCAATCACTTTTCAGATTCAGAAGAGTGAAAAATACATTTCGGTTGGTTACTGCATTCTGCACTCTCTTCCGAATTAAATAGGCCCCCTTATGTAGTGTAAGACAACACTCCGTCCTCTATGCTGCATATGCGGGAATACCTGTACTTGGTCCTTTATTCTATTGGTAATGGTGTTCTACTGTTCCCTGTAAGCGCTCAATTGATGGAAAAATATCAACGATCTAGGGATTTGTATAAAGTTACAGTCAAAGAGCAGTAAGGTGCAGTTCTCCACAGTTACCAGCCTTATATCAAATGACAGGTCATTTCTGATTTGCAGCCAAGAGACAGCGCACTTTGCACATTGATCCTTGCCTTCTTAGATAAAGGACCCCATATATCTACACAGGGAGATCTTTTTTACCTCCTATATAGGAGGTTGTATTGATGAGGGGGGGGGGGGAAAAACAAATCTCCAAATGCTTCAGAGTCCGACAAGTAAAAGCGGATGGAAAGAAAATGTGATCGTTCTTAGCAACCAGCTAGAGATTTGCTAGCATTTTATTGCCTGTACTAAAAGAATGACTTGCTTGCTACGTTTATGCTTTAAAAAGTTAAAGCCAATAATAAGTTATTACTGTTAATATGTTTACTGATGGCTCCTACATATAGATTAGGATCACTTTATTGTTCCAGTTGAGTATCTCTTAAAAAGCCAAAAGGCAGCTCTCCGAGAAGGTGAGATGCACAAAGAAAGCCACGCAAGGTCATAGGAAAGGACCTAATGTTTTGCAGCTACTACAAGCACTTCAACCAACAAGGAACTCAACTTTATACAAGATCATAATCCGTAGCAGCGGGGGATAGTATGGCCACATGTATATTGCAATCATTTTTAACATTTAAAATGATTGCAGTGACATGTTTACCAAACTAAAACCAGGAAGCACGCAGGGTTGGCCTATCAATGCCAACAATCGCCCACTGTACTTATGTAATGTATGCATCAATCAGTGCATTATAAAACACTTAAGGCTTTATTAAATAACATGGCACAGTATTTTTTATTTTTTTAGGGTGGACAACCTAAGGAAACCAATCCCAGAACAGCCTTTACTGGCGTTGCTCCATTACACTGCTGCAGAGCTGGTATCTGGTTGCCATCCCCATAGTGGGGTCACAGTATTGGTTGCGCTTCATGTTTTGGGCTCCATGCAGATTTTGTTTCCCTCTAGGTTTATTGCCTTCAAATAATAAACCTGCACATTTTATAACTCAACACTGACAGTTATTCACAAAAGGGTGAAGAGTTTGGAGACGGCAGGAGAAGTGAACAATCTAGGACAACATAGCCGATTTGGAGAAATTCTCCAAGTCAGCTCACTTTCCAGTTCAGCTATGTTGTCCTAGATTGTTCACTTCTCCTGCCTTCTCCAAACTCTTCACCCTTTTGTGAATATTTTCTATGAGTAAGCTATACTTGGAAATATATTCTTATAAACAAAAAAGGAAGAAGTGAGAATATCTATGTGGGGAAATAGAGCCTATTCTCTCCAATTATAAAAAGCAGCTGCTTCTCGGGTAAAACCTACAGAAGGTCATTTTATTGGCATTTGGTCAAATTCAGGCAACTGTGACTGTCTTCAGCGTTAAAACAAAATAGGTTTTTTTCCCCTCTAGTAATCACATAAAGGCATAAAAAGGTGTTTACAAGCTAACCTAGCTCTGTGTATTCGAAGCATCTTGGATACTTTAAGCAGTACACATAACAGCCTATTGTACTGCTTACTTCAGCCCTAACTACCTATAGCCACACTAGACATATGAAGAGATGGTCAGCTCCTCTTATGAGTCTGTAGTATTAGGGTTAAATATAGTGGTCAAGGCTACAATGACTCCATTATCTAAAGTTGTAACAATATCATACGTGAGACCATTACACTTGTGTAGCCTAAACCCAATTCACAGCTAAGCGATGCATAGGTGGTGCATCTGCTGAACAAAGCTCTGCCATTAAAGTTCTAATAGAGGACATCGCTTATAAATTAGAGAGCACGTAGATGCACCAATTGTTCCCCGAACCCAACATTCACACAGCGTTACAGTGAGTCAGGTGGAATAGGAAACAAGCTGAAATGACGGGTGATTCTTTAACAAACATTGAAAGCTGTGTTGCACAGTTACCTGTGCTGACCTGTGTCATTGAGGCCTCATACACTGTACATTTGTTGGTAACGTCCATAGTAAGACAGCACTCTTCTTCATTTAACATCCAAGTAACAAAATGTTCCACAAGAAGTCTGTAAAGTACTGAACCGTCTGGGCTGCCATCTTAGGAATAATGTGCACATGACCAGTCACACCATGAAGACCTCTCAGCGTTTCATTACAACCTGTTCATAAGCTCCTGCGCCGACCCTGTTGTAAGGAAGACGAGGCAACACATAACGATTAGTGCTTTGTAAAAGAAAACTCCACTAAGAATCTTTCAATTATACCAAATTATAGCAAGTTCTAAACAATCTAAAGCTCTTTAGATACAAATACTGCACTAAGAAAGGCACAAGAGTAAATGATGGCACTGGATAATGGGAAAGTAGTGGTGAAGAGGGGGACAGGGTATATAGCTTTACATTCAGAGAACGGTCGGCCTTCTGTACAATGACTGCCTGGGATCAGGGGCTCTCTGGAAGAAGGTTGAGCTAAAACTTCCAACATGATGCTTATAGCTTCTTCCCTGGAACAGAACTTCCAGGCTTGCAACTGAGACAGAACTGGTGATCAATGTAATATGTAACTAGAATGCATTTAAAACCATAAATATGTAATATACAACACATAGAATCACTACTACTATGTAAGGAATATGTCCGTTTTACACACCTATTTGGTAGATGATGGCCTCCAAGGGCAGTGCTCCCTCCAGGACCCACAAACAGCCTCAGACCTTCCTCTGCAAATACACAGACACAGGTATATCATCAGTACTATACAGATCACAGATATAACTCATCATTTACAAGTATAGTCTCTTACAAGGTATCACTGTAAGCTATATTAACCCTGTCATGACCAGGGGCATTAATGCTAGGCAGCATGCATCTGTTAACATGACAAACATTTTATGACCAATTTGCATACACACATACTGTACATATGCACTGTGTATATTTGTATATACACTCAGTGGCCAGATTATTATGACCACCCCATCAGTACTTAACACCTGAGAGTGACCCTGCAGAACCCACTATAGACTCTCTATGGTGAACTTTGCCGGGTCTCAGGTGGGCTGGACACACACACCTGCACACCTCTTATCCGTCAGCCCCAATCCGCTGTCAGCCTTCTCCACCGCCAGACCCCGACTCCACCACCACCGCATCTGCTGGCTGTCACTGACTCAGCAGCAGCTGTGACATGGAACACGCAGCTGCACAGATCAGACAGGTTGTCAGTGGCGTGTTTCTTCTCACAGCGGCCAGTGACAGTCAGCAGTCTGCGATGCCATAGCAACCCAGGCGGGCCACATGGCATCAAGGGGACCCCTTTGCTCATCCTGGTCGGGCCCCCCTGTGCCCCATAGCTGCCGTCTTGGTTCGCTATGGCGATAGTTCCACCACTGAATATAGTATATACACAGTATTATTTAGATTATATATAAAATATTATATTTGTTATATATTGCAAAGCCCCATGTGACAGTACAGGTGAAAAGTCCTCTTCAGTGGTCTACCCTGTACTGCTTCCAAGTACAGACAGTACTCGATTTGTTTATATTCCTGGCTTCAAGTAGCCAAAATCTGACAGCCATACACCCAGAAGTATTCAAAGCATAGCACTTCCAGGTTCAAAAAAGTAGGAGGGTCATTGATTGGATGTTTACTGATCCTCCATCTTGTGGATTCTGCCCTCCTTGATGTTAATCCCTAATAGACTCCCTTTAAAAACAAGGAACATGTCTTTAAGTGACATTAAAGTCAAAAATGTTTTTCCCTCCCCCCAATGTTAATGCCAGCACTTACCTTAAAATTATGTCTCTTAATACGATCTTCCTCTTCTTTCATGTCCTTTGATCCAGCGCTGACTCCTCTGCCCTTGCTGGCACTTCCTGTCCCACGGTGTCTGCATGCGGGTGCACACGTCCATAGACTTACCTTGCGTCTCTCCTCGGCTCCCAGCCGAAAATCCGAACTGCGCATGCGCCCGCCCCAAGATGCTTTGCGGCCACCCGAGCAGTTTCGGATTCTCGGACGGGAGCGCGCGGCTAAGACGGGGTAAGTTAAAAACGCTGTTAAAGCGGGTGTTTTTTTCTTTTTTACTTTTTGCCTATATCTACTTCTTGCTAGCAATAGATATATACAAAAAAATGGAGGGTTTAGAAACCCTTTAATGACTCCTGTTTCCTTAATAGCGAATTAATACTGAATAATTGTGTGGGAGTGATCATATGATTTACCTTCAGCACTTGAGTCGAGAGTGAAGTCCTGGCTTTGAAGAATGGTTTCCACTACGTCATCTGCATCAACACGGGTGGCATCCACTCGCTTTAACTGCGACTCTACAGAGTCTTGTTTGACTGGATTCCTTTAAGAAAACAACAACAAAAAAAGTAAATATCAGGAATTAATGAATTAGAACTTATGTCTTCAGTACATGAAACATCAACAATTACATGAAACATCAACAATAAAACACCACACGATATATACAATAAATATCGGAGTTTCATAATAATCCCAATTTAAAAACAATCTGTAAATAAATGATAACACCATTTCACGTCATTAAATCTGAGACTAGCCATTGTTCATCAAGGTCTCCGAACACGTTCATTGACCAAATGTATGATTTATTACACCAAAAAGGTCTCAGGACCAAAGTACACGTCTTCTCATCCTGAGGAAGTGGACCAGTTATGCAAAATACATAGGTCTGTGTTGTGCAATAAATCCAATCTTTGGTAAAGTGATGTGTTAAGATACTTTGCTGAACAGCGGCCGCGCCTTAGACAAATAAATATAACGCAGTCAATTTGTTTTAATATAAAATAATTTATGCAGAGATTATTTTAATATTGGAATTATTAATAAAAATCATACATTTAAAAAAAGAACTCCGAGTAAAAATGTTACTGTATTACCCTTGAAGTGGGGCTACCACAGCACTGCAAGGGTTAAGTGCTCGCTTTTGCCTAGAGTAGAAAATAACAAAATGATAGTTACCTGATCCTCGAGTCGGCTGGCTGTAACAGCACTCCCTCGTGCCTGTTTCCTCCTCCTCTGCAGCAATGGTATGTCTCTCAGTGTCCTCACATCCTATACACTGTGTATAGAACGTGATGACAGAGCAATTACCCTTGCAGTGCGGGGGTAGCCCCACTGCAAGAGTTAATACAGCTTTTACCCAAAGTTCTTCTTTAAAACATATTTTTAGACAAGCTTTACAACAGTAGTGCAAATAGAGTTTCACACGTGACAGTTGCTAAGGTAACACTAATGGCTGCCTGTGAAATAGCTGGTCTAGAGCACGCTAGGCCGGTGCAAGGAACCAACTCTAACTACCCTAACACTGTAAAGCGTACAACAGTGGTATCAAAAATGCAGTGCAAATAACTGTACCAAGAGTAGTACAGCCTACCTACTGCAGTAAGGCCCAACCTAAGCCACTTGCCAGTTAGCCAATGAGTCTGCCAGCGTTGGGGCCCTTGGGTAACTAATAGGAGTGCTCATATAATCCCAGAGTAACTAGGCACAATGCAATCCCCTCCAGGCAGAATTCTACTGCAGGCAAGGATGAAGCTTTATGTAACAATCTTTGAAAATAGATGTAAACACTAACTCAATGCTATTTTGTTTGCTAAAGCACTGTGCAATATAAACAATAGCCTACAATCCAGCAGAAAATGCATTTCATGCGTCTGTACACATTTTGATGGTTTAATAAATTTGGCCATAATGTGATATTCAGATGTGATATATAATGTGATATTCAGATGGTGAACACTTAATACTTTGTCTGCAATTGCAAGCATAGGGCTCTCTCATATTCTCATGGTGTCTGGTATTGTTCCTGCTTGGGCTGTTCCCTAGACCTCATTCACACTGAGCTACATCAGTGCTAATTTGAGCTGAGCGATTTTGAGAGACATTGAGCTACCATAGCTGAAGTGCACAGATCGTTGCGCTAAGTAGCGCTACTTTTGGCAGGGGCTTCATAGCTGCTACATTGGGCTGTATCCAATCAAAAGCGGTCTTGATGTGACATAATTCCTCTTCCTGTTTATATATCTGTGCAAAAGTGACACTTCTGTAGTGCGACGTAGCACGAAAATGTCGTGCGACATTGAGCTATATCATTGAAGTCTATTGGGCCAAATCGCACGAAATCCACCAAAAAATAGGTCATGTTTAAGCGACAAGCTTGAGCTACAAGCTACAGGTGAGCTGTGAGATGTGAACAACTCCATTGAAATGCATTGGACAAGCTACATTGAGCTGATGTTTGAGCGATTTCTGAGCTGAAATTGCGCTACAAATCGCTCAGTGTGAATGGAGTCTTAGTCTCCATGTTGGAGCATATTAATGCAGTTGATAAATTAAATGCAGGTGTACTTGGAGGCAGCCCACTCCTCCTTAAAAACTGCAGGGACTCACCGGAGGCCCAGCAATCCAAAATGCATGCTGGGGCATAAATTTAATTTATCGACTGCATTAATATGCCTCAACATGGAGACTCATAAATAGAGTTAGGACCACACTTTACAGAGGTGCCTTGATGGGGCTGTGTGGCTTCTACATATTTTTGGCCAAAGGTTTGTGTAACTAAAACCTCTGCTTTTAACGCACACTGTTAGACAGGGCTATTTGTTTTGTTGCAGGCTAACTGGCAAGTGTGCTGGGGGCTCTTTTTGTGCTTTGTATTGTTGTAAGCCTTTCCATGTGCACCTTGCTACCAAGGCTGGTTATAAATGTATGCGTTTACCACCTATTTCTAGCTCTACTGAAAACAAGTTGTATGTCAACCAATCTGGTTTTAAGGAACCCAAAGAATTCAGGATCTGTTCAAAAATCGGACAGTATATGGGTAGTTTCAGTTAATCAATTTCTTTTTAGTTTCCTTCCTATACAAAACTTTTAGAATGCGTGTCCTAATACCTGTTTAGTTTTTCAGAAGACGAGCCCTCCTCTGTAATATCTGGGCTGAATGAAACAACTGTAGTGGTGTCATCCTCCATTGGCTCTGGAATACTCCCAATCCCAGTAGAAGCACTGCCCACAGATGTGTTCCTCCGGTGGCTTAATTCAGACAGACTAGAAGACCGTGAGTGCCCTGTACTGTATCCTGCAGAGAAAACAAAACTGTGTTATATGGTGCCCCCAGAATGAAGCAGAATCTACATCCTATCGGTTTTTTCATTTCATCTGAAAAAAACAAAACACACATCCTAAAATGAACAATGGCTTAGTAAAAGGAGAAAAGGCTGTTCATTTTGAAAAGTGAATGTTGGTAAAAAGGGTGAACATGTGTTCATTTTAAATACCCAAACACATGTAAGGGAAATAAAAAAAAAAAGGCAACAGGATTTTTTGTGAGCATGTGATTGGCTATTCAAAGTGAACACAGGTTCACCCTTTTTACCAACATTCACATTGCTAAGTAAACAGCCTCTACAACTTTACTAAATCAACGCCAATATCTCTGATATAATCTCAAGGCCATCTTTGAGAATAATGATGAAAGGGTCTGTAAAAGGTGGATGTTTTTCTAGGGGAAAAGAGAAGGGGGCGGAGTAAAGTAGCAGAACTAGAAAAACGAATAAGGAGAAGGTAAAAGAAAGGAAAAAAGGAACTGTGAAGGCTGGGGGAGCCAAAGAGAGGGGTCCCTACTATCCAGTTTTATATGGGTGCAAATTATCATAATGATAGAAGAGATTTATCTGGAAAATAGGGGTTATCTAGGGCTCCCAAATATCGGGAAACGTGCACAGCATACAGTAGCTTATGAAGACTGGAATTCAGCAAGTAGAATCATTGGCTTTTTCCAAGCTATAGTGAGTTTGTCTGGCTGCTGAGAAGCTATGCACAAGTGGGCACAATTTGTTTTTTGTGCTGCCTACTGGCTTTTTATTAACCTCTTGCCGTCCGCCCGTAGTAGAAAAACGGACGGACAGCACTGCCGCATTGGCGGGTTGCCGTCGCCAGACGGCATTTTTTTTCTGCTCGCGCGCGCCCCCTAGCGGGCACGCACGGGCAGAAAAGACAATGTTTCACATATACTTCCCCAGGGATTCACCTGTTGAATTATTGAGTAGGTTCAAATCCAGAACCGTTTTCTTCCCAGACACTCTCAGCATAGGTGTTTGAAAGTACCGGTTGTGTCTTAACCTATGGAGTAATTACAGGAATATCCCAGTATAGAACCTGAAAAGTGGGCAGGGACAAGATACCATCTCATTAGTAATCCATAGTTGGATTCGATGGCTGACACACTGATTGAACATTTAAGGACCAAACATCCTCCTTATCCTCAGCTGTAACCCTAATGTGATAATAGTTGGAAATAAAGTTTTATATCTTTCAATCAATTTTCCAGCTTTGGGAGGGACTATTTCATTTTAAACCAAAAGCCACTAGATTTTTTTAAAGTGGACCTTTCCCCCCAAAACACAAAAAGCCCTGCTGTGTGCAGTTATACATGATATCTAAACATCCTCGAGTCAGATGTAGAATCCAATATTTATTTTTGTGCTTTTCTGTTCCATAATTTTTATTAAAAAGCTTTTATGAAAACAGGCCTTGAATGCCTTTCATCCCTTTAAATATAAATAGACCAGAGTTGTTCAGACAAGACATTCTTTATCGGAATGTACGTTGTCTTTGACATCTTTCCTAAGGCACAAATCTAATAGCTCAATATAAAAGGACAGCCTGCAACCTTGCATACACACCTCACTGATCATCACACAAATCGAGCGTTCCAGGGTCTTTCTAAATGCCACTAATAGATATGTAGATTATCATCTGAGAAAGGCAGCATTAGACCTCTTTTATTGGTAATTAAGTGGATTGCCATAAACTTTCTAATAAATATCTACATGAATATTAATAAGTTAATTAAAATTGTAGAGCCCTTGTACAACAGCTTTTACTGTCCCCCACACAATATGGGCATTTGGCAGTCAAGCTATGCCCCATATTTGGAGGATTTGGTCATCACTGTTGATATCCAAATCAACTGAAGATTGTGCAGCCAACAGCTGCTTATGCATGGGCAGTGTAAATCTGTCTGCTTATCAGTCTGCTTATGTCTGCTTATGCATGGGCAGTGTAAATCTGCGATTTGAATAGCATGATCCTGCAGCAAGAAAAAGGTTTCAGCAAACACACAAGAAAATAGAAAATGTCATGCATCACTAATAAATGTTACTAGAGGCATGTTAAATAGAGATGCAGATAACATGCGACTCCTAAGTACACACGGGTCTAAAGAAGAATGTTTATCTTGCAAGTTTGCAGTCACTGTACTAGTCAAAGCAGTATGTAAAGTAGGGTGTTTCTGGGAATGCAGGAAGAGCTAAACAAGTTCATCCTGAAAGCCCTGACAATCATGACTGCACACCAACAATATTGCACAATGGAAGGCGTCCAAGATCAAATATACCATTGCAATTCACAGGCTTTAACCCTTACACACCATATGGCATTTATAATCCCCTGTATTATAAAGCAGATGAGCAGGGTGGGAAACAGGGAAAATGGCTCAACTGCTCTGTCTGGGTAACATGGCACTGATTTTATGATATTGCTCCGTGGTTTTTGATAACACTGCATCATACAAGTGACACTGCAACACACTGATAGCATTACATCACTCTAACAACATGGCATAACATTTTGAACAGTGCATCATTCCGTTAGCATGGCATAACTGTTCATCCTGCCAATGTACATAGCCTTGTTACATACATAGTATTTGAGGTTGAATAAAGACATAAGTTAATCAAGGTGTGTGTGTGTGTGTGTGTGTGTGTGTGTGTGTGTGTGTGTGTGTCCATGAGTGTTCTCATTCTTAAGAGTACCTGTACCCTTGTATATTACGGTCTCTCAGGAAATCATCCAAAAGCCTCTCGAATGATTCCAGATTAATTGCGGAAATTACCGCTTGAGGCAGTGAGTTCCAGACCCTAACCGCGCGAACTGAGAATAACCCCCTTCGCCCCTTGTGTTCTAATTTTTTTTTTCTACCAGTTTTAGGTGGTGTCCTCTAGTCTTTGTTACGGAATTAATCTCAAAGAGTTTGTTGCTAATGTTGCTATGACTATGGAACATTTTGTACATGAAAATCATGCCCCCCTTAATCTCCTCCCCTCCAACGTAAACATGTTTAAATTTAGTAGCCTTGTCTCATAGCTCTGGTCCTCCATTCCCTTGATGAGTTTGGTCGCCCTCCGCTGGACTTTCTCCAGTTCAAGGACATCCTTTCTGTGGACCGGTACTCCAGGTGGGGCCGAACCATTGATGTGTAAAGTGGCATAATTATAGACCTATCCCTGCAAAATATTCCCTTCTTGATGCAGGACAAGATTCTACTAGCTTTGCTTACAGCAAACTGGCACTGTAATTTATTATTCAGTTTGTGGTCTACAATGACCCCCAAATCTTTCTCCATTTCCGACTTCCCCAGCGGCATACCCATAATTGTATAACCCATTTGCCTATTATTCCTCCCAAAGTGCATAACTTTGCATTTATCGACATTAAACCTCATCTGCCACATAGTTGCCCACTCCCCTATTTTATCCAGGTCCTCCTGCAATGTTACACTATCTTGGTCTGTTTCTATTACCCTCCCAATTTTGGTATCGTCAGCAAACACTGAGATATCGCTGTGTACTCCGTCCCCGATGTCGTTAATAAACAGATTGAAAAGCATGGGTCCCAGCACAGAACCCTGAGGCACACCGCTAATGACACTAGCCCAGTCTGAAAGGGCGCCATTTATTGATACTCTCTGTACCCGTTCCTTTAGCCAGTTCTCTATCCATGTACACACCCTTCCATCTATGCCCATAGCTCTCAGCTTGTATAGTAAGCGTTTATGAGGTACCGTATCAAAAGCCTTAGCGAAATCCAGATATACCACATCCACAGACCTCCCTCCATCCAGATCTCTACTTACCCCCTCGTAAAAAGTCAGTAGGTTAGTCTGACAGGAACGGTCTTTCCTAAACCCATGCTGGTTGTCATTTATTTTGTCATTTTCCCGCACGAATTCTACTAAATAGTCCTTAATCATTCCCTCTAACAGTTTACAAACTACCGATGTAAGACTAACTGGTCGGTAATTCCCAGGTTGGCATCTTACTCCCTTTTTAAATATTGGAACTACCGTAGCCCTCCACCAGTCACTCGGAACTCTACCAGTCATTAGAGAGTCCTTAAAAATGAGGAATAGTTATAACCTCGCTTAGTTCCTTAAGTACCTTGGGGTGTAGATTGTCCGGTCCCAACGCTTTATTTGCATTAAGTAGACTAAGTCTTTGTTGTATCCCGGGTTCCGTCAACCACTTAGCTATATTTTGTGATGAACTATGTGTTTTATTATCGGTGCCAAACCCGTTTCCCTCCTGAGTGTATACTGAGGAGAAAAAAAGTGTTCAGCACTTCGGCCCTCTCCTTGTAATATGGCTATACATCAGCTTAGACACCATTCACCACTGTGCCTCTAATAGGGGGGAAATATGGTGCCAGGGACCCTGTGATAAAATAAGCATTGGATGCCATGTAATCTAATACTGGTTTCCAACACTGACAATAAAGGAATGTATAAAGCACTTAGCAAGTGCTACAGAAAGTGCAAATACCAGTTCATGACAGGCTGCTGAATGTAAAGTAAAGGTCCTTGAAAAATGCTAGTTTAACAAGTTGTGTAACCAGGAGTGGATTTCTGAAATTCACAAGCTACCCAGCCTCAAAAGACATCATTCTTCAAATTCCACTCTACTCCATGATAAACAACTCATTTTTGCTTTCAGAGAATAGGTGCAGATTGATTGCAAACAACTATTATCCGTTGCTACTTCTCGGTGCCGCAACCTACACAGGGTTAGGTAGCATTTCAATCCTCTTTGGAGCTTCTGGCCTGCGGGACTACATATATATTTCTATTTAAAAATTAACTTTAACTCCTGTTAACACTGTGCATACAAATGAACCAGGATGGTACATACACCCCGTCCTTGATAATACTAACAGCTCTGATCGTAACTGAATACATAAAGCTACAAGCTGCCAACCGCTGTCGCTTATTAGGCAATATTGCCTAAACACTGCTTTACTGCAGCAATCTCTCTTCCCCACCTGTTCACTTTCGCGAATATTAGCCATTTGAATGTAACAGCGTCTCATAAAACATTTTTTGTAGTATCTGACTGTATAGTAGAAAGCTTCATGAATGAAAATGTCTTGGATTCTGTTATATTAATTTACAGACAGAATTCTGACATTTCCATGACCTGGCACCTCTACATTACTGTGCATGTTTAGGTGGCAGCCATAGGGAACAATACACTATACATCTGCCTATCTGTACATGCACATGGCATGATCTTTTTAGCTCCTGGAAAGACTGGAACACTACTCTAGCTGAGGGCATGTTGGGTAGTGTGTAACCAAGAAACGCTGGCTTTGAGGTATAACTATTCTTTTACTAATGTACAGAGGAGTGCAAGGTGTGGCCCATGGAGCATTATACGCCAAAAGCGCACTTCTCTTTTAAGCAGGATGTAATATATCATAGTGGTTCTAGAGCTTGCAGTTGTTGTTGTTCTGCATGCTATTCCCACCACTGTACATTGTTATAACATGCTCTATCCCCTTAGTCCTGAATAACATTTATTATTTGTACCTGATGCCTTGGACTGCTGACTGGCATAACTTGATGTCCTGGAATGTCCACATGCTCCCAGTTCATCAGGGACGGAGGCACTCTTTGATGAAAGATCTGAGAAAGAAAAATGGATGTATTGTAGATCTCTAGATTCATTTTTGAAACTTTCTAACAAAATAATTATATGATACAATCTATTCTGATATGCAGTATGTTAACTAACGGTCTTCACATGTGAAATTGAATTACATGTGCAGCTACCCCGAAGGTAAGACCTAGCACTATCTTCGGGGATTTCTGTAATATAAGACCTACCCCGGGGTAGGTCTTACTTTCGGGGAAACACGGTATATATATATATAAAACTATTTCCAGTTCAGATTTCCTACCAGCAACTCCCAGGTGTAGTTTGATAGTCTCTCGCCCTTTCCGATCTTCCTGCAGAGAGTCTAAATCTCCAGAAACCGCAATTGAAGTGGCAGTAGAAGGCGGTCTGGAACCAAACAGATAATAATAACTGTTGCAGAGTAGTTCACCTTGACACAGGCACACAGAGTTAACATTACCATTACCAACTTAGCTAGAGCACACTACTTGTACTATTGATTACCTGGGCCCAATTCAAATTGAGAAAATAGAAGCAAAAAGCGCACCACCATAGTGTAGCAAATCCACTTCTAAAGATCAAAATAAAAATCAGATGCTCTCACAAATGTGGATCTTGTGCCGCAGCAAAAAGCAAGAGAGGAGAAGTTCTAGGGTGGAAACCGGTGGTCTGTTTGCATGGCTTCTCTCACTAGGCATGGAGCTGGTGGTACGATGCACGAGATGTACCACAGTGTTGGAATGCAGATGGCATGTACCTGTTTTTTCTGCTTCCCCTTTTCCTAGGAGGTACAAGCTTCTAATCCATTCTACCTCCGAGTAGTGCGAGACATCCCATGCCTCCCATAGGTTTCCATCCTAGAACTTCTCCTCTTTTGCTTTTTGCTGCCGCACAAGATCCACATTTGTAAATGCATCTGATTTTATTTTGATCTTCAGAATAAAGTGGAATTGTTACACTATGCCGGTGCGTTTTTTTGCTTCCGTTTCCTAGTTCCTGCGAGTGCCTCTGCCTGTGCTTCTCAAGAGCTGCGAGGCTGGACTGTTTAGCAATATCTCTTTTTATTTGGCTATTTCATTTATATATTGAAATATTGTTTATAACATAGAGCCGGCTTTTTCAAGACTTATGTAATTATATTATCCTGCTTGCAACATAGTATCGGTATCATTCTACATAAAAAAAATCAAACTGAACACTGATAAAAGGAAAGTGCACAAGCAAAGATCACCTCCTGTGAGAGCCTTATACCAAAATGATCAGTAGATCCAGAGGCATGGGCACTTGAAGTTATATGAAAATCTCAAATTTTCCTCTGAAAGTTGAGCTTGGGCCCTACATCCTCCAACATCCTGAGCCTCCTAATTAGTCCCATAAAGGGATGGACAGCCTCACCAGCCAAATGGGAGGCTTGGAGGGGGAAGGTGTGCAACTATACATGTTTTACAGGAAAAGTCATGTAATGCATCTGTAATGGGTCCCAGGTAGGCTTTAAGCCATGGTATACCCATTATTGTCATGAAGGGAGACGTTATATATTGTGTTTTTAAGATGAGTGGACATGTTTTTATTTGTATGTTTTATATGCTTGTTTGTTTTTTAAAGTGGTTATCCTAATAAATTATATTTTTTGGGGCCTATGTGATATGGTTAGCTATGTCCCTTTGCATTCTTTACACAACACCTGAAAGGCCCCATTTAGTTTTGTTTGGTGTATATTTACCACTTTGAATCTACTGATGACTGTGACATGCAGTTTTCATGGAAGTTAACCTCCACTGACGATGAAAAATGATCTTGATTTTCATCTCATAAGTCATCCCACAATAAAGCCATTTTAAGTGTAACCGTTTAACAAACCTTACACCCCCTCTCTCAAAATACATACATAATCAGAAATAAAAAAATTTTTTAAAAATCAACACCTCGGCTAACAAAAATTACTTGTCAGCGAATTTGACCAAACCTGATTTTAAATTACATAGAATCAGGTCCCAAGGAGTCTGGCAGTTTTTCTCAAAATGAAAATTCTGAACATAAATACGTAGCTGTAGTCATAAAAATGGGCTTTTAATGTACCCCAACATGCTCTAAACTCAGCAACTTGCTTCTCGTAAAATATTACATGAGCTACTAAATTTGCTGACATAAAAAGACAGGATGCCAATGGGAATACACCACAAAACGTTGACTTCTCACTTTCATCTTTATATTATCAGAGGCTCATTAGAAACTATAAAATTCCGCATCTCTCTCCCAATCACAGACATGGCGCACATCTACTATTTCAGCAGAAGCCGTTTACCCCTATCGCATACAATTGATGAAGTACTGTAATGAGACTTCCAAGCAGCTGCTGTTCATAGAGCCTTGGTTCTCAACTGGTGGGTCGTGACCCAAAAGTGGGTCGCAACACAGTGTTCAGTGGGTCACCGCATGCCTTTCACTTTTCTAGGTGAGAGGCTTCTCAGCCTCCCCCTAGCGCAGCAATGTCAGTCCTCACAATAAGCAGCCATTCACAATATGCTGCCCAGTGCCAAGTGTCAGCTTGGGTGGGGGTATGGCTTTGAGGCACCTCTACAGGGCATGCAAGGAACTGTACAAGCAATGCACATATGGATGGAGCTCCATTACAGCGCAGCAGCCCACACCGGACCCCAGGCTGTGGATCCACTCCAGTTCTCATCAGATAGGGAGACTGGATGGATCTTTAAAAAAGAACAAAATTTAGGTGTGTGTGTGTGTTTTAGGGCAGATTCACACTAGTACACTGCACTAATCGCACAGTCCCATGCAATGAATGCACCTTACCACACAATCGCACCTTACCACGCATTCAGGTGTGGGAGGTGTGTTGCATTGCCATTCATTTGAATGGCACCCCAAACACAGTTCGATCGCCCGCACTGGAATGCACGGTACCACAATGCGGTGCGACTGGGGTCACAACTTAATGACCAAGGACAAATGTGGGTCCTGAGATTACACAGGTTGAGAACCACTGTCATAGAGGACAAGGCATAGCTCAATGTTTAAATAGCACAGAGTAGAAAAAAAACAAATCAGCTAGTCAGATGACTTATGATGAAGCAGAGAGGTAATAGTGATGGAAACCACAAAATGACACGTTCATAGGCAGAAGAAACAACTTACGTTTTAAAACAGGGGTCCCCAGACATAAGCTGCATGCTGATTCCAACCTTCAAAAAGATAACAAATCAGTTAAATATACATAGAGATCCAAGTACAATCTTCAAAGGTTAGTTCTGCCTTCCCAGCACAGAAAAGACAATATGGTACGCTGATATAGCTATGAGCTAAAGCACTGGGTAGAAGGAAGGCAGCACTCACTACATAAAAGAGATTACCTTTGCACAATCAGAATTCATCACATCCTCTGTTACTGGAAACTTATATCAAAGGTGTTATCCTTTCCTGAAACCCGGTTGCATGGAGCAATTATAAAGAGAGAGGAAACTCTCCTTATAATTGAGAGTCATTATATTGTTTTTCAGGCACATACAATAGGGGAAAAGATTTTAAATAACACTTTGACTGGAATATGCACCCTACTTACTAGACAGAGACTTTTCTGTCCAAAGCTAATATTTGGCCCTTGGCTGTGCCGGTGGAGCTGACCTGTGGGGGCATCTCATTTCACAAACGGACGCACTTCCATTGCACTAAGAATATCTCAGACCCTCAAGGCCGCTACCTTCTACTGTGTGGCGATATACTGGGGTCCCCTATCACGATTCTATGTTATTATGCCCCTAATCTCTCTCCGCTCCCCTTCCTGACTCATCTTTTGGAACTGATTGATACGCATTCCCATGGCACGCTTTTCCTGTGCGGGGATTCTAACCTGCCACTCAACCTTAAATTGGACAGATCGAGGCCTCCACTGTCCTCTGCACCCACTGATAGCAATCGCTATAAGGCTGTTTTTGCTGGGTCGGGGTTAGTGGACGCCTGGCGTGAACTGCATCCCCTCGCTAAAGACTTCACCTACTACTCGGCAGCTCATGACCTGTACACTCGTATCGACCACATCTGGGTCCGCCACTCGTTCCTACCGCACCTCATATCAGCTAAGATCCCTTCGGTACCCTGGTCAGACCACGACCCCACAGTCCTGACCTGCCGCTCACTGCTCCCCAGGCCTTCCTCCTCCTCCTCTTGGTCCTTGAATGACTCCCTTCTCTCGCACCCGGATGTTGTGGACCGCTTGTCTTCCCTCTCGGCCGCCTACTTCAGGGAGAATGTTGGATCAGTATCCTCTCCCACTGTGCTATGGGAAGCCTATAAAGCAGTGCTTCGCGGGCACATAATCCAACTGGCGGCCCAACGGCGGAGAGAACGGGAGTCCCGTAGGCTGGACTTGGAGGCGGAGTTGGACCGCCTTACCGAGCAGTGCAAGACCTCTTCAACGCCCCGACTGAGAGCCAGCCTGGAGAAAGCTAGGGTGGAACTCAACCTATGCCTCACCGATATAGCCGAACGCCAACTACGCTGGGCAGGGCAAAAATTCTATGCCCACAGTAACAAGCCTGGGGCTATGTTAGCGAAACGTCTCCGCTGCTTTGAACCGCCCAAACGCCCCATCTCCCTACGAACAGCTGACTCTGTCCTGACCAGTAACCCGCAATCGATATTAAAGGAGTTTCAACACCACCTGTCCCATCTGTATGCGGAACCACCCCCTTTCCCCATGGCCGCAGCAGAGTCATTTTTTCAAAATCTGCATATGCCTGCAATGTCAAGCGTACAGAAGGAGCTCTTGGCCGCTGACATCACTGAGGATGAGGTGCATTTAGCGATTAAATCGCTGAAAGCCAATAAACGTGCTGGACCCGATGGCTACTCGTCCCTCTTTTATAAAAAATTTGCGGACATTGTGGTCCCCCATCTGACAGCGCAATTCAATTTTCTTAAGCAAGGTCACCCGCTTCCTCCGGAAGCCCTTAAAGCTAATATTGTTATGATTCCTAAACCAACTGCTGATCCCCATTCTTGGTCCAATTTTAGGCCCATTTCCTTACTTAACACTGATGTGAAGCTCCTGGCTAAGGTGTTGGCCGCTAGGATTAACACCTTTCTGGGATGTCTCATTCATAAAGACCAGGTCGGTTTCGTACCCTGCAGGCAGGCGGGAGATGGTATACGCCGGGTCCTCAAGCTTATACACCTAGCTCGCTCCCGCTCCATAGAGATGATGTTGCTTTCCCTAGATGTACGCAAGGCGTTTGACACCTTGTCTTGGCGGTACCTGTTCTTTGCTTTACGCAAATGGGGTTTTGGAGAAGATTTTCTTGCCTGGATAGCTGCGTTATACTCCCAACCCACAGCCTCCATCCGTTATGCGGGATTCAGCTCAGCCGCGTTCCCCATTCTGCGGGGCACTAGACAAGGCTGCCCTCTATCCCCCATCCTGTTCATATTGGCATTAGAACCGCTGGCGGCCGCTATTCGGGGCAATGCTTCCATTCAGGGATTAGAGCTGGCGGGTACCCCTCATAAACTCTCGCTCTACGCGGACGACATTCTGTTAGCTCTATCCTCCCCCCATATCTCTCTTCCCAATCTATTTCGCACGTTAGCAGACTTTGAAGCATTCTCCTGCTTGCAGGTTAACGAGACCAAATCAAAAGCCTTGAACATTTCCCTGAGTGCCGGCTGCCTGAGCTTGGCAAAAGCTAACTTTAATTTTTCGTGGCCCTCTTCCTTGCCCTACTTGGGTATCAAAATCACCTCCTCGCTGGACTCGCTCTTCCAGGCTAATTACCCCCCGCTCTTCCGCGAGCTGTCGGCCCTCCTTACCTCCTGGCACAACATGCCCTTATCCTGGTTAGGCAGGATTCACGCCATCAAAATGTCTTATCTCCCCAAGATCCTTTACCTCTTCAGGGTCCTTCCCGTTCATATACCCAGTCATATCCTCCGTATAGAGCAGAGGAAGATCCTCCGCTTTATATGGCATGCCCGTAAGCCCCGCTTAGCTGCCAACGTCTTGTACCACCGACGGGGGCAAGGCGGCCTCGGAGTTCCCCATTTAGCGAAATATTACATAGCGGCTCAAATAGCTCCACTGACGCTCTTTCATTCAACGTCAGCGCTACCCCAATGGGCCCTTATGGACATAGTGGAATGCGCCCCCCTCCCCATCCATAATCTACTGTGGACCCCTCCTTCCTCACGCCCCCCCATTCAGGACCCGGTCTTGCGGTTTAGCCTGCAACAGTGGGACTCGGTCAAATACACAGCTGGACTTATATCACCCCACCTTCCCCTCTCCGGTATATTTGGGACTCCCTCATTCCTCCCAGCATATGAGAATGCACCAGCATTTGCGTGGTGGGCCCGGCGGAACCCTCTTTATATAAGAGATCTACTATCCATGAATGGGGTCAAATCCTTCCAAGACCTCCAAACTCGCTGGATGGCCCCCCTCACGGAGAACTTCCGATATCAGCAACTTAAGAGTTATATCACGACCCTTCTTAGGCACTGTCCGGGCTCACCACACAATCTCACACCTTTCGAATCCCGCTGTTGGTCCGACCCCCACTCTGCGGGCCTAATAACCCTCCTGTATGCCTCGCTTGTGCCGTCAGTGGGGACGACGAAACTCTCCTACATGCTGGCCTGGGAAAGAGATCTGGGTGACTCATTAGACCTTCACGCCTGGTCTGAGATATGGCTTGCCGCGACGAAGTGCTCTCCGAATGTCCTGGCCCAGGAAAACGCCCATAAAGTCATGTTCCGTTGGTATATGACCCCGGATAGGATATCCAAATTTGCCCCCTCCGTCTCGCCCAGCTGTTTCCGGGGTTGCACGGACAGGGGCACCCTATTTCATGTCTGGTGGAGTTGCCCAAAAGTGCAAAAGCTATGGATTAGAGTGTATAACTTACTGAGATCAGTTTTTGATACAGCTTTTGTGCGTAACCCTTGGGAGGCCCTCCTAGGCAGGCCAATTACTCGCCTCTCAAAAAGAGAGAGGAAATTAGCAAATTTTATATTCCTGGCGACTAGACAGACCATAGCCAGAGCATGGAAACAACCAACGTTGCTTTTCTCGGAAGTCAGACAATGGGTCATGGGCATCATGGTACATGAGAAGCTTACAGCTACCTTGCACGACTCACATGCCTCTTTTCAGAAAACATGGTCACCCTGGCTGGAATATGTCCAGCCGATGGGACTGGATCGGGACCTCTTGACGATTTGATGGTGCCGCGCTTGGTCGGGGTGCCGGGGCCCCTCTCGACTCCCCCCACAGCCACCTCTCTCCCTTGTCTGTCTCCCCCTCCTACCCTTTCCACTTTTCTTTTCTTCCTTTTACCTCAAGGTTCTGCTATGTTTTTTTTGGAACTTGCAACACGCGATCTAGAACGATTGCTCGGCATACGAACGTTAGCCACTATTTTCCCACTGGTGTGGCTCCGCTGGTATCCTGCAGCAGCAGCAGGTAGCTGGCATCCATGCTATGGTTTCCAGAAGCTAGCCCACCCCCGGTGATTATACGCAGACCGTTACGGTCCTTATGTCCCACTTTAGTTTCTGCTGTATTGTTCTAAGTCAATTTTCCATTGTATAAACCTGCTGGACCTTACTACTACTGTATGATCTGTAATTATGTTCTGTTGCAATAAAATAATTGTACAACAAAGCTAATATTTGGATTTTAAATAAATGGCAGCAGGTTGAATCACTCACTGGTTTCCTATATCTGTTTGGGAATCTAATTCCGGCCGCACATACGATTTCACCTTTCATTTCAACCCTTGGTTAAAATCGAAAAGCTTCTACTTTTTAAACTGATTTGATGACAACTAGTTAGAACGTACCTTTAATGGCCATTGTGGAATATCTGATGGCGCTCTGTCAGATCTCCCTTGCTTTCTCAATATTTTAACACTATTTTGGCTCTATCTCCTTTTTCAACAAGCTAGAATAACTTTTTGTTTATTTCTACAAAGCTAACTGTAATGGCACATTGCAAATTCCCTGGTTAGTTTGATCACCTCCAATGGTTTTGTTTTAAGTTTAATCAAAACTAGTGGAATCAGAAAAAAAAGCTTGCAGTGTCTATGGCCATCACAATAGTAAAATCCGGTTCTCCCATCTTCCACACCAAGAGGGGCATCTCGTTCCCCAGTTAACATTTATGTATTTTACATCCTTCTGGAGACTTAAGGGTGTAAGACTGCAAAGCCTTAAACATCTCACTACCGTGTTTCCCCGAAAATAAGACACTGTCTTATATTTTTTTGGCTCAAAATAACACACTAGGTCTAATTTTCGGGGTAGGTCTTTTTTTTAAATATACAAAACTCTACATGTAGTCATGTACAAAAATATGGTGATCAGGGCAATTAGGGGTGCAGTACCTTTCTAAGAGCAATTTGCTAACCAATCGCTGGCCAGAATGAGCGAAGCGCACTTTCAGTATTGATTCCTCACAGGCGGAGTGCATTTGGTGTCACTCTGCCTGTGACAGGAGCCAGCGCTATAGAGGAGACATTGGCTTATGCGGCTCTGCTCCCTCCGGTGCCGCCTCGCTTCCTCTAGCGCTGGCTTTGTTGGCACTGCTGATTCTCTCCCTCGGCTCTTCAAGTTCTGCCTTATGCCACCACTGGACCTGGGAATGGTCACAACTAGGTCTTATTTTCGGGGTAGGTCTTATATTTTAGCAATTCACAAAAATAGTACTAGGTCTTATTTTCGGGGTAGGTCTTATTTTCGGGGAAACAGGGTACTACAGTTTCCCAAATGTAAAATCGAGTACATAATCCATCTCACTTGCATGCACCTATAACTGGGTTATTAGTTTGATGTGGTAGTAAAGGGAAGATGTATAGAGGTAGGCTGACCTCTCCTTTTAAAATGCTGGTTGTCTGGTCTGGATATCATACTAATGCAAATGGTGTGTTCCGACTGGTCCATATTATAGCGTTGCACTACAGGCACATTATCCGTGTGTTAAGCGCATGGTTTTGCAGAGTGCAAAGATGGGTGCGCTGGTGCCTTCCATTGCCATTCATTCTGAATATCACCCCAAAGCACCTCCCGGCACATGTGCATTGCAATGCACCATACCACAACACCGTGCTTTGCACCATTGGGTGGTGAAAAAAAATAATCCAGACTCTATTTTTTCACCACACAGTAGTGCAACTGAATGATATTGAGGTACCCTGCGTTACAGTGCACATCCGCTGGGAGATGCATTGGGGTGCCATTCAGAATGAATGGTAATGCAACATACCAACACCAGTGCACCTAGTGTGCTGTGCGATAGTGTGCACTAAACGCACGGATACCTTGCTTTTAGCGTATTGCTATAATGTGAACCTGCCCTTCAGCCAAACTTACATAGTTACTTTAAAAAAACAAAAGTCCAAGTACAACTTGTGAATTCCAAATGTGGAATTGTCTTCCTCAGTCAGTAGTATCTGCTGATAGCATTGATAAATTCAAGAAACTCTTAGGAGGAGTATGGGAAAGGATATGGGAACTACTAGACCCAAAACACATCGGTCGAACAAGATGGACCTTTGTCTTTTTTCAACCTCACCTACTATGCAACCTCTGTGTGAGTTTTATATGTTTGATCCAGAGGAATGTTGCTGCACAGTCGATTCAGATCACCAATTCAAAGTATTCCAGCTGAATACAGCAAGTATTTTTAGCAGAAGGTCATCAATAACATGTTTCTTTCTATACAAATTTCCATTAATAACAGAGCAGAGGGCAGAGAAATGTAACCAACAACTATCATCATTGGTTGTTCTGACACCTCTGAGCTGATGAAAGTTAAATATGTTTTCCCTGGGTTACATCACTGCATATCACTGCACTTTGCACTACCTTATCACATAAGTAGAAGAAGCAAGAAGAAGTATGTTGATTAAATTCACTTAAAACAAAGGACACTGGCTTGTGCCAAGGAAGATAAAGGAACAATGTCAGACCAAAACATAAAAACTGGATCTGAACATAAATTCCTAATACATTGGCTGCAATTATCACATGAAAAAGCTTGTACTTACATCCTGTTATTTTTTTTCAGCAAATATAATGAGAACTCACTGATGAGACAATGGAAAACCGTTGTATTCTCTCTCAGCATAGAGCTTTTAGGAATAACAGGCTTTCAGCTGAGCCCTCTGGGCTGTGTATGAATTGTAATGGAAGTGAGAAATGAGGCTGACATTAGATGTGTTCACATCCCAAAGCTCTAAGTGCATTAGCCAGGAAGAAGCAGATTTAATAATTCACCAATGCTCTCCTCAAACACTTTGTGATTAACCTTCCAGTAATGATGTCATGCTTCCCGGCCCAATGCAACAGCAGTCAACTACAGTACACGGAGATTAAGCATTTCATATTCAGGGTTCATATTTTCATAGCAAAGCAATCAATGCTAAAAATGTTACTGATAACACAGAACAGAATATTTTGTGTTCCACTGATTTTTGCAAGAAGCATAGAACAGACAGCCAGTTTTTTTCTAAAGCACTAGAAGGGGATTACTGCTACCAGTAATCATATTTCCATGTAACACCCATTGCAGCGTGTGGCCATGTTACGGAATGGGTAATAGAGAGTGGGAAAAATTGCCCTTTCCACTGAAACCCTCATTGTTTTTTAATAGCCGCTAATGCAAATTACCACTTTATGTCAAAGAAAGGGGTGGTATCCAAGTGCTTTCACATAATACAATTGGCGGTAGGAGGAATCCCATTCCATCAAAGCACAACCACACGTTTTACATCTTCTCCCAGAAACAATTGGCTGGTTTCCCAGGAAGTCATTTGTATCATCAGGCAATGGTTCTGTAGGTGGACCAGAGAGCTGCCCAATAGATTTCACCTTCAACACAGAATGTGGGGATGTTTTGAGCTCAGCAACAGGAGTTTTCTTTGAATGTCATAGACCACAGTCTGAAAATTTTTTTTAGGTAGGGAATGATTAAAATCTGGGTTAAGAGCTCTTTTCTTTAAGTTATGTTTCATTCGGAAGATTTTTTTTTTTTAAAACAGAATGTAAGAGAAGATCTCTCCAAAGTAAGGAAAATCCTCGCATAGATAGCCATCACCAGAACGAGTGTCCTTGTTGGAAGATTGCGCCTTTATTCCTGTTACAGTGACATCTCAAAATGTCGGTCTTTCTCTTACTTTCACTATCAGCCCTAATAACACCAGGACAACGAGGGACAACCTGCATGGGCCCTAACCGTGCCCTAACCGTTCCCCAACCAACCAACCCCCCCTCCTCCTCCCCCGCCAATCCATTTTTGCTTTAAATATACTATAACCCAGCCAGCTACAGTACATTTTGATACTTTTGGGACTCTATTTTCTTTCTCTTACATAGGACTAGCAGGGAAAAGGCTTCAGAGTTCTATAATAAACAGAGTATAATGAAATTGCTTTTTGTTCTCCGATTTGTGAAAAAGAAATTTAAAAAGATGGACAATCTCCTTTTCCTATTGAAAGTTACTTTAGAAAGAACAATAGGTTCTAGTTTAAAAATGTTTCATTACCTTCATGATCCATATCTGACACTTTCCTGAATGAATGAAATTGCCTTAATGTCACTTTGTAAGAAAAAAGGTTTTAGAAGAATGGTTCTGAAGAACTGTAGGTGAGTCCTAAAGCAGGCAATGGCCCATAGCTAGGACAAAATAAATACATGTGGGGAAGGGCAGGAATCTGGGATTGGGAGTCTCACCTCATCCATATTAACCCAATTTTCATCTTTATGGTCACTCTTACATTTCAATATGAATTACGGAAACCCAAGATTACAATTTTGAATAGGTTTATGCAGTGTCTGCCATACTCTTTAATATAATGGCTTACCTTTAGAATAGAATTATCCTGCCGGGTATTCTTTGTGTCATATCCCTCTAGCAGACATCGACGGATTGTATTGCCAGACCCAGCAGACTCTGCAAGGTTGAGATCTACAAAGCCAAGCTTAAACCACAAAGAGATATAAACATTATAGAAGGAAGCTGCAGAGTTAGTCAAATGCTTAAAAGGAAGGAGAACTATGGGGTCAGGGCTTGTCCCCATAGTTCCCCTAAGGGTCACAGGAGAACACAAACTAGCGTTTTCCCGTGACCCAAAGCTCAGTATACCGTGAGCTACAACTGTCTGGATCCACCCAGCTGCGGGATTGACAGCTAAGTCTGCCTATCCAGAGCAAGCGACGGTATGTGTTCGCTCACTTCCCGATGTACTGAGCCGACCTCTGACAGTTTCATTGTCACAGGTCGGCTCAGATTATGAGGCTGAGTGAAAATCACTCGCCTCATAATTCTCCTTTAATATGTGTAATGGTCCATAAAGCCCAGCTCCAGCCAGAAAAAGAAACAATTCTGTCATATCTTTATTCCTGTGCGTGACCCTATTGGGGAGATTTCATAGTGTTAAAAAAACTAACAAAAATTGCACACCCTTCTCCATTTTAGTGAAAAATGTGCTTTCCTGTAGTCTGTGTCCCCTGGAGAGATTTCCCATAACGTCTTGTCCTGACACGAAGCAAGGGAAAAATCTCCTCAATGGGAAGCACAATATAAACCGAAAAGGGATTCCCCACTCTAAAACGAAGATTAACATTTTGGCGGGAGTTGGGCTTTAAATACCATTTGAATTCAGCTATAACAATACAACAGCAACAGAGAATAAAGGTTACTAAAAAGAAATGAAATCCAGAAGCTCAATGATATTATACCGAAGAAGAGACACGCTCATTACATTTACTATGGGCAGCCACAGACTGGCAGAAGTTGCACCGAGAGGCAAGCATGACTGTTGCATAGTGATGCATCTGTCTTTAGTGAAAAACATAATGATAAATATGATATAACTGTGTTTAGAAGTTCTACAGTAAGTGTGTCACACATGCCGGTTCAGATGTTTCTGTAACATCATGAAAATAAAATCACACATCCTTTTATAGAGCAGGCCTTCTTAAACTTTCTTCACTCGTGACCCCTTTTTGGCCGAGGAAATTTTTAAGGGACCCCAACGTCGGTCGGTGTCCCAGCACCAGTCACTGTCTCTCTCCTCTTCTATCTCTCCCCCCAGCACCAATCACTGTCTCTCTCCCCCCAGCACCAATCAGCCTCTCTCCTCTTCTCCCCCTTCCCCAGCACCAGTCACTTTTTAGGTAGGTACCAAGTGCACAGGGGGGGCCGCGACCTTAAAACCTACACTACACTGCAAATTATACAGTAAACTGAAATAAAACAATCTAGCTTGGTGCCCAGACCTCCTCGGCCGCCTGGTCCCCCTCACACAAGTACCGGCCATACCCCCCTGATGGCGGTCCTGGTCGGGTACTCGGATCGTGACCCCCCTGTTCACTTGCGGGACCCCATATGGGGTCGCGACCCACACTTTAAGAAGCGCTGTTATAGAGTAGAAAGAGTCAAATAAAGGCTTTTTCCCACCTTGGCATTTTAGTGCCACCTGGATAATGTCTGCAAACTGCCTAATAATACAATACAAAATTACATAAATACAGTTTCATAATGTATGTGTAGTGAGCTTTGCCTGGAGACTCCCTCAAACGCATCTTCCACAGTGACAAAAGGCATTGAAAAAAAAACTCATACATGCATATCAGTCCATACATATTCACCTTGGCATAGGCCTTTCCACCTTTTAGCTCCTGAAACACAAAGGAAATAAGTCAGAAATGGAAATAGTGTTTTCACATGACGTTCAATCAACATACAGATATGCTAATACTACTGTATATCTTTTTCTGGTTCCCACTTCAACCAGGGTAGGCAAAAAGAATGTAGCAAAAGTGTACTGGAGATGTTATTAATGGCAAAAATCTAATTTGTTCTTTTAGCCCGACGTTCATCATCACCTGAATTTGTAAAAAATGATAGAGCAGACCTCCTCGTACAACAACAACAACAACAACAACAACAACAGAAAAGGGGCCTGGAAGGCAAATTTAAAAGAGACCCATTGTACCTCAGTTCCAGACTCCATGAAGGAGAAGAGAGCGAAAAACTGAGGTTGGAAGGAAGACCAGCATGTGAGGGACCGCCTCCTCCACCCAGATTACATGTAGTGCATCTCCTTTGGAGGTAGATAACACAAAAACTGAGGATGACAGATGGACTTTGATGTGGCGATTAGTGATGGGCTCGGGCGTGTTCGCAGCTCCACGTGCCGAGCCCGCCAGGAAGCTGACAGCACCAATCACAGGTACGGAGACATCATCCCGGTCCGCAGCTGCAGAGATCAGGATATGTCTCAGTGCCTGTGATTGGCGCTGTCAGCTTCCGGCGGGCTCATCACGTGGAGCTGCGAACACGCCCGAGCCCATCACTAGTGGTGATGTGTTTCCTGTCTTAGTGGTAGTAGTTTACATCTCTCATATACTGTCCTAGGAGACGACTAGAGAAAGGCTAGCTGGATGTCAGCAGTTTGTCCTCACAGTCTCTTTCTAAAGCATGCAGTTCAGGCCCATTGCAAAAAAGCAGTTAACAGTCTTACCTTCCGGACAGACACTCTGCAGACACATGGATCCAAGATCCCTGAGGCAGCACTTGCACTCATCTTACACATAAAGGAGAACTTCTTCTTCCAATGGACACTGCTAGA